CGGTAACTTGTTAGAATGCGTGAAATCCAGCAATCCAAGCCTTCCTTTCTTTTCAGCATTCGGTGCAGCTCAGGAAAATGAACCTTATTTCACTATCCCTGGAACGAACGATCCGTTTTGATGGAATTTCGATCATTCATGAGAACTTGACTGCTCATGTAAAAACCCACTGACACTCATGGTAACACGGAATTAGGAAGTAGCAGTGATCCTTACCGACGGCAGTCGGGTTCACCATTCTTATGCATGCTGCATTTCGTCCTTCTGGTCATATTCAGATGAAGGTAATGCAAATCGACTACTAGTGGGCTGAAGTTGAGTTCGCGTTAGATTGATGTCGCCAACCGATTCCGATTCCTTACTGATAGCCAGACGTTCTTAATCCTACCCTCACCAAATTCACGAACAGAAAAACGGCCTTTGGCACGTGCATAGGCAAGCAAGCCGACAAACAGCACATTAATTAATTGTTCTGTCAGTGTGAACAGTGGGTTTATTATGGAAATCCATCAGATCATTACTATAGCGGTCAGCTTCCAATCATTTATTTTTACTACAAGAGCAAGCGAATTACAATCTTGCTTGCACTCCACCGGCGATGAGTACAGTCTCTCCGGTGATGTATCGAGCATCGTCAGAAACCAGAAACGCAACAGTTCCCGCACAATCGCTTGGTGTTCCTAATCGGCCTAGAGGTACCTGAAAATGAATTATCCATGTTCTGCTCATTTATGAATTTTGTTGTTGGAAAACAGGGATATTCTATTATGTTATCCTAACCAGGGAAGGCATTCAACTTCCCATGGAACTTTGAATTGAGACCCAGATATATCGATAGAGCTTCAAACGCTGATTACAAATATGGAAACTAAAACTGCAAAATGAACCTGCCAAGGAAGTTGTGAGCAGTCAAAGTTGGCTAAAGTAAAGCGTTACATATGAACCGTGCTAGTTCCAGGCTTTCAAGTCGCCGCGGAGTAGTGGTAGTGCCCTCGCTCTCACCCGGAGGTCATAAGTTCTCTTCCCGTTGGAGTGCAAATTTCGAGAGCACTACCACTACTCCACGGCGACTTTGAAAGCCCGGAGGCTAGCACGGTTAATGTAATGCTTACTTCCAGCCAACTTTGACTGCTCACAACTTCCTTGGCAGGTTCATTTTGCAGTTTTAGTTTCCATATTTGTAATCAGCGTTTGAAGCTCTATCGATATATCTGGGTCTCAATTCGAAGTTCCATGGGAAGTTGAATGCCTTCCCTGGTTAGGACACTA